CTCAATTTTAAAGTATGCAATTGTATTTAAATGGAGGATTGTGAGGTGTACGTATGCCTTTTCTCACTTATAACCGAACCGCCAAACCCCGATTTCTACGCAGACTTGTTTTTAGGTGACTTGTCTCACCTTATAATTTGGACGAGTGGCGACTCCCTCTTTTTTATATTTTTACACTTAATTTTTCATTATTTTGAAATCTTAAGTGGTCATCAACAAATAATTGTGTGGAATTGTATTTTAGAGATAATTATTGAGGTAAATAACTATACCTTCCTGTGTTTTTAAAGTAAATCAATTGATTTAAATGGGTTTCGTCCAGTTTCGATTTATTTAACTATTTGTTTATTCATCTATTTATTTCTTGAAGAATGATTTTTAGTAAAATGTTTTTAATGATGGAATGAGATGATTGGTGGACCAAGCATAATATTTTTATTTAAGTTGAGATGAGATTGTGGTCATGTGGAAGTGGTTAATTTAAATTTATTTTTCTCCAATACTAGCGAAATGGTTATTTTTTGAAACAATTTCTTTTATTTGTCCTGGTTGTATGATTAACCCTTATGAGGGATTGAATTGTTGGTATTGTGATAAACCCGAGATCTATGGATTGTGAATTGTGGATTGATGATTGAGTATCATTGATCGTGGATTGTAGATTGTGGATTGTGGATTGTTTACATAGTCATAAGGGACGAAAAAAAATTAAATATTCTGGTTTTGAAGAAAGAAATGTATTTTTATCATTTCATTTTCAATAAAAATTCAGTTTTAGATTTCTATACTTGGTTGTAATGGATGGGTATATTACTTACAAAGTTCTTAAACTTACGTTTTCAAAATTTCATCTCATTTCAGGTAAGAAATATGAGCATCTGGATTTGCATTGTAATTGAAAGACTATTAGAATAAATTGGCAGAAATTTAGCAATAACTCAATTGGGAGCTTATTTGGTTTTAGGGAATAAGATATTAATCACTATATATTTTGGTTAAGAGATTTGATTTTGTTATTTGAAGACTATTAAGATTTGTTAGTGGAATTGTTTATTTTAAAGTTGCAAAATTACATTAAAACTTTCACTATTGCAGGAATCGGATATTCAGACCGAAATATCGGTCCAGATATATTGCAAATCGGTCTGAATATATATATCCGGACCGATCTTGGTCCCTATAGTTGATCTGAAAAAACCTGGTACGAAAAAATATAATATACAGACCGACATGAAATCGTTCCGTATATATATAATATACGGACCGAAATCGGTTCGTATATTTCAGTATGAAATATAAATGATTATTTAAAAATTGAAATAAGCGGACCGAAATTGGTCCCAAAAAAATAATATAATAAAATAATAAAATATGTTCGAATCGAAAACGGTCTAGAAATGTGGGGGAAAGAGGCATAGCAAATATATATGGACCGGGATCGGTCCGAATGTAGAGGACCCAGCAGAAACTTTTAAAACTTGCAACTATATCCAGACCGTTTTTGGTCTGAATATTGTGGACTTGCTTGTAACTTTTAAAAGTTCCATCTCCAACCGGTGCCATTCTCAAACTATATCCAGACCGTTTTCGGTCCGAATATGGTGGACTTGCTTGTAACTTTTAAAAGTTCCAGCTCCAACCGGTGCCATTCTCAAACTATATCTAGACCGTTTTCGGTCCGAATATTGTGGACTTCCTTGTAACTTTTAAAAGTTCCAGCTCCAACCGGTGCCATTCTCAAA